CCCGCAGAGCGATCCCCGGTGCTGGAGCCGCTGCAGCGCGGGGTGCGGCCGGCCGCGCTGCCCGAGCCGCTCGGAGCGCCCGGCCGGGCCGGGGGAAGGGGCCGCGTTGGGAGGGGACAGGCGGTGCTGCGGAGCGCCGCTCCGCTTTGCTGTGCCCAAGCGCTAAACTGAGTCGGGCTGGAAGGAAAATGCACCCTCTAGAAAGGTACGTCCTGAAGTCTGACGGGGTGGTTTTGTTTTTTAATTAGCTCCGCGGTCAAAGACTTTGAAGTAACCATGGATAAAAGAGGAGGTGCAACAGAAACTGAAAATGGCGATGCTTTCCTGGAGCTGAACAGAATTACAACTAAGTACCCACATCGTTACACAAAGGTCAGCTCATCTGCTTTCGTCTCTGAGTTGTGCGTGGAAGTCCCGGCCACAGGAGCAGAGTGGGAGGTGGAGGCTCCTGTGAGAGGGAAACAGTGAGGTGAAAGCTGAAAAGCCTTTGCCTGGATTAGGATTTACAAAGTGGTGTCCAACGAGCAGCTTGTTCAATGTGATGCAGTTGTGCAATCTTGTCCTCGATATGCTTTTGATTCCCACCACCTTATTTTAATATCTGAACATCCCACAGCATGTGCTGAGAGATTATGGTAGAGGCTGAAGTATGTTGTTCTACCAGCTTTCTCAAGCACTTCATAGTTCTGTTTTCAGCAGTGTTCCTTTGAGAAGTTGACCAAAAATATTTTCTTGCAATAGATGCCATTTCCTAGGAAGGTGTAGCACACTAGATCTTATCAGGACCTCTCATATGTTTAGTGGGTGCTTTTTGTAACCTTAGAATTGCTCATATTTGATTGCTGGAAGCTTAAACAGTGGTGACTCTAATCAATGCTTAGTGTTCAAACAGGTGCTTTTGGTTAACTGTGATGCCTAAATATGTGTATGAGGGGAGGAAGAAGGGCCAAATAACTTGCAAATAAAAAAGATTGTTCCAGTACTAAGTGAGCTTGATATGCTGTAGGGTTTGGGGTTCAAATTTTGTTTGGGGTTTTGGTACCACTGCTGAAAAATGCCTTTGGGAAGTGTCTGTAATGGTGGTTGATTTTCCCATGGCTGGGAGCTGTGGGAACCGGTGGTCATTGCTTTGTGAAAAGCTGTTAAGATACTTTGCAGCAAACGGCCTGAAGTGTGGAACAGGGCGAGATAGTTTATTGTTGCTGACTGTGTTATCTGTCTTGAGGAATTTGGAGCTGTTGGCTTTTTAGTAGGTTGTTTTTTAAAGGAAAAAGAAGTTATCATTGTGGCTATGTTCTGTTGAGATAGTAGAGCTCTAGCTTATTTTAAGTAGACATCAACAATAAACCACGTACTTCAGAATTGGCAAAACTTCTTGGGAATAGTACAGCTTTCTAAATCTCTCTAACTTCTTAGAAAGATGTGCCTTTAACTTTTGAGGGTGTGAAGTATACTGTCACTCAGACCTAGCTGGTCAGCTAACTGCTAAGTGAAAGAGAGGAGCTGTTTGTGAAGCTCCCCTGCTGAAAAAGTGGTTTCTATTCTCTTTCAGTTTTACCTAAGTCCTCCTGTGTGGTAACTGAATTCAGCTTCAGTTTCTGCTCTGCTTTTTAGGGCAGTGTTCAGCCCATGTTGGTGGTGGCTGTTGACTGAAAGCAGTGCCTTTGTAGCTTCAGTTTTGTTAATGCAGTACCTATGGTTTCTGACCAGGATAAAGTTGCAGAACTAGTGCCAGAAGGTGCCTAGTCCTGTTTATCAGTTGGTTTCCAAGGAGCCTAAATCAAGAAGTACCAGAAATCAGTCTGTGTTAAAATCCTTTGCATCATATGGTTTCTCTACATGTTACAGCTCAAGTATTTTAAGGTGGTGAGGTAATCAACATTGTAGGGCATTTTCATGTGTTCCAGTTTCCTGTTAATTAGGGATTGAGGGAGTTTTGGGGTATGTGCTGCTGATTTGGAAAGGGGAGTGATTTCCTTTAATGGTTTATATTCACTTACTACCACAAGGAAAAAATCTGGCTCATTCTCTGAGTAGTTCTAAGCTGTCTGCTTAAAACTGTATGATAACAGCTAAGCACAATTTTCCCCTCAGCCTGCTTAGAATGTGTGTGAATTAAACATAAAACCCTACAGGTGGAAGTGCCAGCATTTATCTCCTCTGTTAGAGGAGTGCTCTACAGTTTAAGCTGTGTCTTCTCTAGTTCTTGGGAAGCTGTTCCCCCCAAGGGTGCACAGCTAATGATTGAAAGGCAAGAAACAATTCAAATTTTCCTCACTTGAGTGGAAGAATTGTGATAGGATGTGAATGAGAGCCTGTGGACTCCCTCTCGTGGCCAGCAAAACAACCCATTCCCAATCTGGTGATGGACAGGGCTGTTAATACTTGCAGTATCTGCATCAGGCTCTGATAGTATTACAGCACTGATGTTCCTCACAGATTGAGGTTTATTTTGGGAAGCTGTGGGCAGGGAGGCCAGGCTCCCTTTAATGGCACTCTTTTTGCTGAGCTCTAATACAGGGTGATGCCTGGGGTCTGGGGGATGTTAAGGTTTTGTCCAGCTACCAAATTGCCATCTAGAGCAAGTGTCAAACTCACATAGTTAATGAACTGGTTTTAATCACGTGGGGAAAATTATGTAAAAGTTCTGAAGGATATTGTGTTTTGGGGGGAAAGGGTAAAGAGATCTTTCAGTTTGGCTGATGTATGGTGTGTGCTGTTAGGATTTCTTTATCCTTCCAGCTGCCCACTGATCCCTGCACAGTTCTGAACCAATTCAGTACAGTTGGGAGTGAGGCAGGTTGAAGGAAGGGGATCTTGGGAGAATGAGTAAGTGTAACTAGAAATGTGCATCTTAACTGCAGCAGAGTTAATGTTGATTTAAAGCACTGATGGTCACACCATTAATAATGCTTTCTGAATGTAGCAAACTGCAGTGAGAGTGCACTGATTGCCACTTGAGTGACTGACTGCTCAGGGTGTACAGTGGTAAGCTGAGGGCTGTTCAAAGCTGGTAGAAAGTGGGAAAACCAAGTTACCATTCAGCATTGATTTGGTGTCGGGTGGAATGGGTAATGCTATAATACATATCTTAATATCTTGGAGTTGGTGATGGTCAGAAATAGGAACCTTGTCTAGAATTCCCAGATCTACCCCAGTAACTGGAATTTTGCTAATGCTTTTTTTTAACTGCTGAACCTTATATAGCATTAACCACAGCAATTTTGATTTCTTCTTGAGAACTCACCAGCTCTGGTGTCCACGATGCCTGCGTTGCTTTTAAGCTGAACTGTCCAGGGAAGTGAATACACCAGTAACTGGAATTGTGCTAATGCTTTTTTTAACTGCTGAACCTTATAGAGCATTAACCACAGCAATTTTGATTCCTTCTTGAGAACTCACCAGCTCTGGTGTCCACGATGCCTGCGTTGCTTTTAAGCTGAACTGTCCAGGGAAGTGAATACATAAACATTTATGGTGTGAGCAGCCTTGGAGTGTTCACAAGAAACTGAACCTGGCCTAGTAAGGCTTAGTGCTTTGAATAAGTGTTTGGTCAGTGGCCACTGGTAGAACAACTGAAATATAAACTTTCAGTGCTGTATTTCACAGGATAGGAAACAACATATTGGGAAACCTGGGCTGTCAAATTAAAACACTAAATTGAACAGACAGTCTGGAATAGATGGTTTGAGTCACTTAAATATTGTCTGGGTGTGAATCAAAACTCATGTCTTGATTTTTAATTTATTTTTTTTCTAGGAGGAACTGCTGGATATTAAAGAGCGTCCCTACTCTAAAAAAAGACCTTCTTGTCTTTCTGAAAAATATGACAGGTATTTTCTTGGTTATACAAAGCCTACATACATTTCTTTCAAAGTAAAAGTTTAAATTGCAAAAAACTGTTAGCTAAGAAGTGCTCTTATGTTGATGGGATGTATACATGCCACAAAGTTCAGACTGCTACAGAGTCCAGTTTTCAGAAGTACTAATCTGCTAGGAAAGGCTCAGTGCTCTGGCCAAGGATTTTGTTCTTTGAACAGAGATTATTTTCTGCTGGATCTCATAAGTTCCCACAACACAAGTCTTACAGACTTGCAGGAAAAAGTACCAAGAACATAGACAGGTGTGTAGCACAGACTGGGTCAGGCTGTAACAAGCTGCCTTGCTTAGTGGGTTACTCTCCCATGTTGTCACTGTACCTCACTGAAAAATGAAGGTGAGTGTTTTTGGCTGGTGTTTGTAAGTTTATTAAGCAGCAGTTTCTTTACTATTCAGATGAATTTTTTGTGAAAGCTTGAGATTGAGGTAAAATTACCCAAATGCTTTAGAGCAGCACCATATGATCTGCTTGAACAGTGTACCAGGCAAGCTTCACCAATAACTAGTCTTTTAAAATTTGATACTGGGTATTATACTTCCTTGCTGTTACAGAAGAGGTCCAAATACTATGTGTGAAGTAGTAAACCATAGTAAGGCAGATCTAGAAGTTGGGTGTGAAGGATAATTCACTTGTACTGGTCTCTAACCAGTGAATTCTAGGTTTCTCACAGCAGCATTATGAAGTATTTATTAGACTACAAGGTAGCAAACAATCCTGCAATTTTGTTTTCCTAGTGATGGTGTCTGGGATCCAGAGAAGTGGCATGCATCTTTATATCCAACTTCAGGAAGAACTTCACCAGTGGAAAGCTTTAAAAAAGATTTGGATTCGGATCGGACTTCTCTTATGCGTAGGATAGTAGGTGAGTGTGTTCTACAGCACACTGCTCAAAGCTGAACCTGGCTGTTGGCAAAACCTTTCTGTTGGGGTAACACAAAGGAGGCCAAACAAAGTCCCTGAAAACTGACTGCACAGGATAAGTGT